TGTCAAGCGATAGCACTACTTGACAAAACAACGTGAGCAATATCTTATCTCAAGATTTAAAAACATAACAAAGGCTAAATCATAAATGGATTTGTCCCCCTTTTTAAAAAAAATTACTTAAAAAAATGAAAACCAGCGACTTTCTTTTGTTATCAGACAAAACCAACAAATCTGACATATTGCTTTTCATTTAAAGAAAAAAGTTTTAAATGTATTTTTATCTTCCCCTATCAATCTCACTCCAGCATCCGTTTGCATCCATGACTCACTCGTGCCGCATCAATTTGTTTCATAGTTGATTACCAATGAATGAATTTTTCAAGAATGTTTCAAGAATGAATACTTGACGTGGCGGGCCGGATGTAGATGCAGCCAGTTAGATTAGACAGTAGCTCCATTGTAATATCTGCTTCTCGTCGAGCCATAGATAGCACGTTTACGGGTTAACGCGGATTTCTTTAATGTCATATATAATAAACAAATGGATTCAGACTTGAGGCCGCGAAAAACGCTGTTTTTGTTAACCAAAGCTGTAATAAATCTGTCGAAAGACCAACTCCCTTAAAAGTCAAAAGGGGCAAGATGGGTCGATAAAAGTAACACAGCAATATCTTACTCATCGCCATCATAAGACCTTTGTGATTAACTATGGTGAATCTTAAGACATTTCTTGAAAAGATGTCTTTATGAACCGGGAACACTAAATCTTTGCATACACATCTGCGTCCTGTGAGCTTTAGCTGCCAGATGCATTTTTATCATGATGTTTAGGGAAACAAATATGAAACAGAAACAAATAACATGTATCAATAAAGGTGATCGTTTTGTTTGAGGCACATCTAAAAGAGTTACTACTCCAAAACCGCTGCTTACCAACCAAGCTGTTAAACTGGCTACGAGCACTCTAGCTTTTGTCATAATATCAGCACATTTCAAGCTGTGTATCACTGAAATATATCGCTGTATGGTAACTGTGACAACACCGTGAAAAGATGCTGAGTTGACAAAAGTCTGTAGGCTTTCAAAAAAAAAGGATCTGAACTAATCGTTGACATACGCCTATTTCTCCCAACAACAAATTTAAAGCTGCAAGGAGCAGTGCATGAGACCGCCGAATAACCGTCAAACCCAACCATGGCATCTGTGACAACCAGGTTAAACAGAACCATGGCAGAAAACGTCCATTTCTTTTGACGTTTAATTCCATTCGTCAAGATTTTTACGTTGTAGAAGATAGTCACAGCGCTGAGTAAACTATGGAAGGCGTAATTTAACCAGATAAGGGGAAAGCTTGTTTTGTGCTTGCGAAATGCCACATGAGCAGCTGTCAGTTTAGCATCATGATGAATTGACACAGCCATCTCGATACCAAAGCAGCTGGATATTCTTTGCACTGTTTCATTGACCATCATTAATAAATTGCGGCATTCAGTTGAACGCGAGCTGTTTTGCCACTCGCACTTGGTGAGAGGCTTAGCGCCTCAGCTTGTGACTTCAGTCTTACATCATCTTGCAGTACGACATCTGATATAGCACCTTTATAATCACGTGCCAAATATAAGCGTTGTCATTCACCCATTGATGTTGTTCACTCACAGAAACAGTCGAAAGCTTCTACAACGGTTCTATAAATAACAGGCAATTTATTGTACTGCTTCGAAACGGGGCACCATTTTCACTCGGATAATTTTTGATTCCCTCTAAATTGGATTACGAGCAATTTTACTTGTTTTACTTTCTTTTTCTGAACACGTAAACCGATAAAGGTATCTTATCGACTCTAAATCTCTCAACAATTCAGCAGGAACAAGGGGGTTTGAGGAAAGCTTACAAGAAAGAAAATTATGATTTTATTTTTTAATAAAGTCCACAGGCAACATATCATCAAAATATAATGAGACAGTCCCCCAAAACGGAATTTATCAATTATATGAGTTTGATTCACTTATATTTTCCACGGAAACAAATACACCATTTGCGTTTTTTCTTGAGTTGTTTATGTTCAAATTTTGATGATTTTTCGATTAACTGATCATTTTGAGAATAAAAGTGTATTTTCAAAATATACGTTTTTTTTAAACGGAATAATTTGGCAAATCAAACACAGCCGATGTATACAGCACCTCGGTAAATACAGATTCATTCTGAATCAAACCAATTACCTCTTTCTTTGCTAAAATGGGCGAAAGTAGCTTATACGCTGTGGGCTGTTGTCGATTCATTTAAACATTATTGTGCTCTTTCCTGGTCTCTACACGAAACTCCATATGGAAATGTTTATATGCAACAAATAAAAAAAATTCAGAAAATCAGAAACCATTTACAGTGAATAATAGAACTTTTTCTGAGTGACATTTATCGGAAGTTCCATCTTTCGTTTATTTATTGTACAGCGGAGCTATTTCTGTGAGACTTGAAACTAGATGTAAATGAAGGTGGTAAATTTTAAGCCTGATGATTTAAGCGGAGAAGGACGTTATTCAGTGAATGACTCGGGCATGATCGAATGAAAAAAAGGGAAAAAAAAGCTCCGAATGCTCCCAATAGAAGTCGAACCTACGACCTTGCCATTAGTACTTCGGGAACTCCACCTCTGAGCTACAAGAGACTCGTGGGCTAAGCCACTTCTCTAGGTTCATCGTGTTCCTGGATGGTAATAGCATAGGAATGTTGATATACGATGCTTATGGGAAATGATAATATAAATGAAGACAGAAAATCCGCAGTTTTAGCGTGGGGATTTAAGAATAGGAAGATGTGATGCTAATGAAACTGGTGGAGCTCTTAAAAGTTGGAAAGTTATTTGGTCACCGGGTCTGGAAGATTATTTGAAAAGTAGGAAAATTCAGTGACAGTAACGATGCCATCAGTGATGCCCATCTATAGCAGAGTTCTCATCTTTTTTTACATCGTTTAAAGGAATATCATTGTGAACTATCCGTAGGTTATGTAATAAGATGCTTTAGAGAAACCTTATCATGAAGGTTATGTTATTTATTTATGCGTCCGACACCAAATTCTTGTTTTCGGTGGTATTATTATTTTAACTGTTATCATTATGATTATTAATATCGTCAATATCAATTCTTATAAATATTTTTATTATGTAATAGGACTATAAAGCGAGATGTCCTCATTCAGACTACCTGTTCATTGTATGATTACATCCTGAGTGCGTTATTTCAAAATCCACTATTCCACGAGTCCATTACAAATGCAGGCTTATATTTCCGCAGAAGCCGGAAGCAAAATACACTGTAGCTTTAAAGTAGATGCAACTAGTATTAATCATCAGTCATTCATGTACTCAGGGTGAAGGACCTTGTTAAGCCTTGGATTTTTTTAGTTTAATAACCACTTTTCTTACCACTACGGTAATTTATTTTAATGCTGTGGTTTTCGCTCCTGAGCAGAATATAACGCGAGTGGACATAATCTAAAAAGTTGCGACCGCAGTAAACATTCTCGTTTTTGCCGTCTGTAAACAGTTTAAGCGATTCTAAGTGATTTTAACATGTATTTAAGACCGGTTGGTCAACAATATTACTACAGTTGACAGATGTTACAACACAGACCACGTCTTGTCCTTGTCTTTCGATGTAGCCTCTCCACATTTAACAGGATGTCTTAAAACTCATTTCAAGTATTTGGGCGCCGCCATCAGTGAATTTTGATGTTACCTTCGATTTTTTTGCATCATCTATATATTGATTTTGATTTTGACTGACGCAGAGCAAAGACTCGGAAAAAAAAAGTTTAAAGCTGTGAAAATAAAATATGACAGTTCGCTGCGAGCAGGGTTCGAACCTGCGCGGGAAGATCCCATTGGATTTCAAGTCCAACGCCTTAACCACTCGGCCATCACAGCAAGTCTACATAATTCCTGTTAAATGTTAATATTTTATCCTAATGTTATTTTCAGCAACGTGCCTTTCTTTACTAAGAAAGTTACCGACCTACTGAGAAATTCGGGACTAAAATCTGACCTGTAACAACTAAAACAATTTTCCTGACTTCAAGAGCGGAGAAAATGATTTGAATAAGGAACACATCGTAATGGATTCTTCTTTGAATATATTTGAGCTTCCAACAAGGGTTTCTTGTCATTGATACTTTTTCTAGCTCGTAGAAGTCACTGTATTGCTTTTTTAATTTTTTGACGAAAACTCTTACACTGAACTCAATTAAACTCGGTAAAATATGCGAGCGAAAAACCAAGTTTTAAGAGATAATTATCCTTCTCGACTCCGCCTGACAAAATACAAGTTAATTAGTAGAACATGATGCCTTTACGCCGCGCTCTGGTATCAAGGATACCTTGCAACTAAATTCATTAACGTCATGAACAAAACTTGTTTTAAAACAGACTTCAGTAGACATGCATGTGAGCAGTAACAATTGGGTGGAAACCAACTGGTATCAATTCTGTTCGAAAACGAGAGCTTGCCGTACGAAGCATCATGCACGAACAACAGTTACTTGACATATTTGTCTTTCCTCGGTAAAGGTAACGAATCGGATCCAACCGACGCGTCGGCCGACACACTACCGACACACCACCGATGCTGTACAAACAGCCGCTGTCGAACCTGGCTTTCTATAAGGTCAGGCTCGTTTTTCGAAGGTTCCAACATCCCGCTGAGTACGTGGCTTCATCTAATGTTCCTGTGGGCTATCAAGGCTTCTGGAGGTAACATCGCCAGACTGACTAGCCTTTCAAAGCCTACAGTGATCCGTGCGCTGAGCGACTTACGAACGGTATGTTCGACGAAAATTATGAACGCTGACATGAAGATCGGAGGTGTAGGAAAAACAGTGGAGATCGACGAGTCGAAGTTTGGAGCCAAGCGAAAGTACCAGCGAGGCAGTCTTTCTATAAGGTCCGGCCAACGTGTCGGCCGACGCGTCGGTTGGATCAGATTCGTTACCTTACCCCTTTCCTCTATAAATATGACTTAATTAAGGATGATTCAATCGTCCTTTAAAAAAGATTGTCTTACCTTTAATCAGCTAGTCAATTGTCGAGGTGCCACTGGCAAATATTACTAAATTTAGTGGATTGGGATACCAGAGACTTGGCATACATACAATATAAGAAGCGATTGACCTTTTAAAATTGTATTGCCAATGAACTTTTATCGGCGCAGGTACCGAGATCACGAGGACGTCAAGCTGGCTCCTGGTTTCTCAGTGACGGCGTTAAGCTATAATCTGAATTCATTTATACTCGCTGATTTAAGTTGTTGCTGGTCATTTACCTTTTCTTACTCATAATGAAGGCTGTTTACCAAAATTTTCAGTCTCATCAGTTAGTTCAAGGTAAAGCTCTCGTTGAGCGCAGCAAAGGCAATGGACTAAGCGAGAGTTAGAAAAGCAATACTCGGAAAAGCTGCTATATGGAATGTCCACTTGATGTACTTCAGTATGTGCCACACAAACCAGCATAGCTTCAATCGTTACACACAAACAAAGGAGAATAGCACGCTAATTTTCTTGCGCTGAGGCTAAAAAAACTAAATCACTTTTGTATGACATTAGAGCTAATTGTATGACATGGAGCTCTCGGCCTCCAAAGAAATTCACAGTTTTCGCACCCGCCTAAGGTAGGCGTGTGTCGATGTGGTCATGCCGCCAACCAATGAAAGGCAACATTGAACTCACTAGTGAGTCTCCTGACAAAGAGATCCATTGAAACTCGCGGGGAAAAGAGTAAGGTCAGAGTTTTTCGCCTCCGTCGTGATCTTCTGCTTTCGATTTCTTTGGTCCGGGCTTTCTGCTAGATTTGTCCCCAAGTGACTTCTATTCTTGACGACTCTTATTTTTCAATGTATTGGGAAATGTAACAAATTCACTCCTTTTGTGCGGTGCAATATGCGATATAAACGAAAAATGCAAATCGAAATCCCGGACAAAAGTCCGCAAAGAACGTCAAAACTCTGCTGAAGATTTCCACAATATACACCTTTTATTATTTGGTACTAGTTACACTCTTTCAGCCGTATCTCAAACTATTTTTTAATTTTTTTTTTTCGCAAATTAAAGTAGGATGATTTCTATCACTGAAGAGCAAAACAACGAAATTTTGATCAAGTTTTTCGACGGCTGCCTTAGGCAAAGTATCACAAGTTGCTAAAAAAAATTATATTCTTTCTTTAATTATGAATAGTCAGTTTAAGCAAGGTGGTTTAATTACACATGCTTTGTTTATACCTACCATTTATCAATAAATTATAGAAAAGGTTTTTTTTTTTTTTTTTAAAGAGAGTTCATCGCCTAAATCTAAGAAGCATTCTTCCATTATGTTTTGTGACTCGAGTGTGATGTAAATTTCAAGGAAACTGAAAACGGCAATCAAGCTGCCAAGTTGTTGCGTGCGAGCAGTTGGCTGGTCGAGGCTGAAGTATCTTTCGCTTTCAAGGCAAAATAAAACTCCACGTGGTGCCGCTTCTCTGTGTGAGCTAAGACATCAGGGAACACATGTTCTACAAACTCCTTTCATTTTCTTCATTTTTGGTCCGATTAAACACGAATACACTCGATTTAAATTCAAAATTTGCATAAGCACCTGCTTTTTTTTTTTGAGAATAGAGAACTTGAATAAAAACAACTAAAGACATATGATAATTTTCAGGCTTCTACGTGCTTTTTGTGAATAAAGATGAGATAAAAGATAATAGCTGTACTTTCTGGGATAATTTGCAATGGCGTGAGTGGAGAATAAAACAATGGTGATTGTTTTCATATCAAACTTTGCTGACAGTAACAACCCAGACAAGCTTCTTGACAGTACATCACCCTACTACAAAGCGTCACCAATAAGTTCGGAAAGTTGACAGTAGTATTTGGCATCTTTACTTTTCCAACATAATGAAACAGGTTGCCACCATTTGGCGATATAAAATTATTCGTCGGGTGTCTGATGCCGAAAGTATGGTATACACGGTTTCTCTTTAGCAAGTATTTGAAAGTGAAAATTGTAACACATGCTATATATATATAAACAACAAAAATTGGCTATCTGAGCGGAACACCAAGGCTCAGTGACACTCTATTTGGGTATTGCCCGGTGAATCTCGTCCGCAATTTGATCGACGCATTTATTCTTCTCGTCTCTCTGAAGACAAGTCACTGGATTTTGATCATTTTGCTTTGCGACGATTAAGTTAGATCGAAAATCATTCACTTTCAAGGAGCTGATGTCGACCGACCAACTTCTTCGAGGTTCTCCCATTTCATCCGATTGTTTGGGAAAAGCGAAGCAAGGCTCATTTGTGCTAAAGGGGAATGGCTGTGAGATGAACGCTTACGTGACTAACAGGTAAATTGCTTACCGCAGATAATTCGTAAATAAGCTTTCCAGAGGAAACATTATCAGCTTTTTCAATATCTGTATCACCCTTTCTGTTCATGGTATCCATCACATCAGATCTGAACTAGAACAGATGAAAGTCTAATCTAGGTACAAACACCATACTATACTGCAAGGATCTTGAACTTCTCACTCTCTTCGCAATAAATCAACGCTAGCATTGTTTTTTCCTTATTTCGTTGCCCGTCAATAACAAAACCTTCAGCGAAAGTAGTGGATAAAATACCCCATTTCTGATGACGTCATTATTCTTGTAAGTATTATCATAGGTTCGCACTGAACTTTTTAGGCTGAAACACACACATGCACAAATAATGATTAAAATAAACACTGCTCAAGTACTAAAATTTCTGTGAAGTGCTTCTTCTAGATCTTGAGGAAATTGTGTTGCTCTCGTCTCGTGTTAAAAAATGATTGGCCATATTGTTGTTTCTTCAAACACCTGGTGTTCGCTGTTCGCATTTGTGTACTACAGGCCGGTCTCTCAACGCTCCCCCTAATCCAGAGGATCGATTGTTGATATCATAATTTGATCATAAACTTCTTTTCACAGCGTACTTTAATAAGCTACACCTTAGATTAATTTATAGAAGATATTTCTGAAAAGCGCGATCCTTCCTTACAACGCGGGTTGGCAGGATGATACGTTTCTATATGAATTTATTAATTTAGGAACTATGGGAAGGATAAAAGATAAAATCGGCCTACAAAGTTTTCCACGCAGGCACGAGTATTAGCTTTTGTAAGCCCCTCGTACATACAAAATTATCTAAAACGACAAGAGATGCGATATGACTTGAATTGATGATACACCGGCTCGATTCTGTCAGAGTCTGTATCTAGTCATTCAGTCGTCAAAACGGGGTCAAGGGCTCAAAATAAAAGCTGATTTGAACTTCGTATACATACTTTTTAACAATTTCATAAGGAGCCAAATTTACAACACAAACCACAGTTTGTAGCGGTCTCTACATTCATAAGTTGACAACTGGAGCTGTTTCGCACAAGCTGTTGCAAAAAAAAGTGTCTCAGCGAAGTGGCACCGCCAATTCAATAGTTTTTTTACCACAGGGTACCTCCCAGGGTACAATGCGGAATCCCTATCATGCACAGTCGGGGAGCGTTGTAAGATATTAAAAATATTTATACTTATTTACTTGTATCAAATTTCATTTTAATGTAAGGGTTGTTGATGCTGATTTGGGAAAGGCAGCCGGATCCGCCGCCTATTTCTCAAGTCCTTAATAAATTTCTGACTTCTTAAGAGGTGAATAGACCTGTGCATCTTGATGCTTTACAGGACAAACGACACAGACAAGCAAAGAATCACCAGCGGTCTGTTAGCAAATGGAAGGTATCTCCCTTTTTTGACTCGGAAGTGTGGCTGTGCCGAATGTATAATCGCCCGTGAAAAGATGGAATTAAGGCACCCCCGGAGCATCCAAAATGGACGCCATGGTTCATGCTTGAACGAATCCTTCTTCAATCAAACGAAAAGCGAATACAGTCATAAGCGTCAAATCAAGGAACAAAGAATAGAAACACATCCCTACAGCGCTCAGCTACGAAACGGCACTGGTTCATCATGGGCAGAAAAACACAGGTTCAGGCCACTGGCATGTGACAACATTTCTCATCCTTTACAATACAATAACAATCCCAGAATGTCCGAGATGTATGCAACTACGCTGAGTCCAAATGGGACAGATCCTTTTTCCAGAATGCTGAGCATAGGCCCTGTTGGTAAAGGAAACCTAACTGAAACAAATCATTGGGCATGGAATGGCTCCTTGGACTCTTCTAGCAAACATAAAACTCAACTGCAATTATCAAGTATTCAGCAACCTTATCTCACCCAACAACTCAGTAGGGACCCACGTTTAAGAAGGAAAAATGAACCGTTGAATGGAAACGATACTTCAAGTATATATTCGATGTATCAAGCTCAAGAAAACGCTGAGCTTGTGCAAAGGGGTCAGGAGGGACACAAACATCAAAGCAACGAGGATAACACCATGGGATGCTGGGATCAACGACCAAAGAGAGCTCTAGACTGGAATTTTTCATCAAAGCCTCAGCCCCCCCAACCCCAGCATATACCAAGCATCTACCCAGAGAGATGGGGGGTGAATGCAGTAGTAAGGGAACATAAAGTGAGGGTGAACGAAAGGAAAGACCGACCATGCCGGATAAGCAAGCCGTCACGAACATCGCTCGAAGAACTCTCAAAAAAACATACTACAGTTAACGAACGTTCTCATTCATCCAATGCTACTCCTTGGAATAATCCATATGATCTAGGAGTAAAAACTTACGGAACATCTAGAGTGGAAAATAAAAAAGATTCCAAAAGGACATCAACGTCGGTAGAAAACTGTGGCTCTGAAAGCAAACAAACAAAGGGCAATTTAAAGTCATTTCCAAATGACCATATGCTTCGAAGCAAGCCACAGTGGAATATTGACGATGAAGAATTGAAAAATGAAACCCAACATTTAGAAATGGTCGCCCGTGAAGAAAGGATAAGATCATTGAAAAGTTTACTTGCTAAACAAGAGCAAGCACTGGAATCACTGAGATTTCGAAAGAAACCTTCCAAAAATAAAGCTATTCATAAACCCTCTACAAGACACAAAGCAATTTCAATTGATCAAGGGAACTTTAACAAAAGCAGTGATCAGCCTCAAACTTACTCATCATCAGGGACGACTTCGGGAAATTCGTTGAAACGGAGATGGCTCCAAAACTGGGATGAGGAAGAGGAGCCCGAGCCTAAACACCCAGTTAAGAAGGAGAAAGAAAACGAAAGGCAATCAAATGGTAGCCTATCTGAAAACGAAAATCAGAACCTCAGTAATGCTGAATTTACAGCATTAGAAGGACTCGTGACACTCAGCAAGAATTAGGCCTAGAACTTAAACAATTGTAACCATTTCACCTTAGCTATGAGCGCATAGAGCGCATATTACATACTAGTTCAAATGTATTAATAAAATAGTTATCGATTCAGTCATCAGATTTATTTATATGCGAACGATCAAAGATGTGTCTGTTGTACTAAACTACGACAGGGTGCTGCTCTCCTTGAGGATAAAATGGGTAGTAAACAAGTGCATAAATGAAGGGCTTTCTTCTAACTACAGAGGGCAGCTTCATGCATAATCAGATCTTCACAACTTTCAGCAACACTAATCCAATAACTAATCACAGGTTAGGTCAGGTTAGACGGAACCAGGTCAGGCCATAGTGCAAGTTCTTCGTTTGAACGTCTGTAGCGGACCAAAGAAATTTTTACTCGGAAGCATGCATGCGCACCAAAATTGACCGCCCAGAGACTCCTCAAAACTAAACTCAAAGAATGATACAGGCATGTACGTTTAAGGAACCTCGTTTAATTTGAAAAAGTAAACGTATCTGTAACGATGGATAGTTTATGATCTAGACTTAGGTCTGCGTTTTAAAGGCAATTGATCTTGAAGTGGAATTAAAAGCTGTTCGAATAGTGTTGTCAGTGGAGTACTTTCGCTAGCCATGTGAATTAGTGGATTGGCTTATAACCCCAACATGTAGCAAGGAAGCCGGCGCAATCGTGAAATGATCCCTTTCTAGCCGCTTCATGTGGCCTGGTTCGAATCCTGCACCCTAATTTAAATTTGCCACTGGGTTTCGTGCCAGCTGATCATGATTGGTCATTTCAGCGGGCTTTCCGTCTTTTGTAACACTTCAAATTCCAACATCTACACTATAATTTTAAATTTGTTTTTCGAGCATCGTAATGCAACATCGATAAAGCGACTCTAAACTTTTAATACAATTGTGATTGTGAAATTCCGCTACTTTTTGCGAGAGCCTGATTTGCTCAATTTTTTCTCATGTCCTTTCGATGTTTGATCTGGGCGTTATGAACATAACGTACCTTACGTGTTTTAAGAGCTCCATGCAGAATTTCAAAGGTATTCCAAACAGGAAAAGGTACGTCACTTGGGGCTGTGCTGACCAAACGATTAGTGTGCACTGCATGGCATCATACAGTTAATTTGTCAGACCATAGGGTGACGTAAAATAAACGGTTAATACAGCCAGCCAATTTCTCCAAAAACGTACCGCATTAATACAGCCGGACATACACTCAAGAGACACAAGTGCGTCTAAGATTCTTGCACAACCTCTCATTTGCCAAGCTGAACGCATATGATGGCACGACACCAATTTCAAACCTCTTGGTTACATTCGATGACCGATTTTTAACAGGGGTTTTAAAGAGAAAAATAAAATCTTGCATCGATCTTCGACACTTGAGTCGATGCAGGCTGTGGCGGTGGCAGAAACACAGCCATAGCTTGAAATGCCACCTGAGCAACTAGCGAAATTATAGAAATCAGATATCTGGAGGACCGAGTAAAAGAAATAGTCTATTCTAGAGGTTGAGCTAGAAATTCTAGTAGGGCGAAAGAATGAAACTAACGTGTTAGTTCAATAACATTTTACGGCCTTCAACACCTACCACATACTGTTTTAAATACTTTTGAAAGTTAAAACACAAACACAAGAAAAAAATTAAACGGCCATTAAATCTAGTGTTTTCTAAACATAATGACCAGAGAGGAACTTTTAAACAATTTGCAGGAGTCTGGCATGATATATATGTAACAGGATATGGTTCAGAATCAAATATTTTAAATAGAAAACAGTCATGTCACTGATGTTACGAAAACTCCACTTTTTTTGTAACGTGAAGACGATTTCACGCAATATTCCTGAGATAAATAAGTAATATTATTGTTGAAATCATAAAACCAATCTTAAATAGTGATGTGTTAATAAAAGAATTAAAAATTGAAAACCGAAGGAAGCGGAAATTTAGGTCCAAAAAATTCTATGCTTTTTCGTTGTCTTTTCGGCGTCAGTGACGTAACGGACGTAGAAAACAGCTTTCTTTGGACGGCACCCTGTACGGAAACATCTTTAAATAGAGCTGGTTATGGTTTCTCCAGTGAGATGAAACTGCAAGTCATGGTCTAACTCTGTTTCTGGTTCATTTTCAGCAAGCCAAACAATGACAGAAACTCCTCCTGACTGATGTCCTCAGGCGCACAAGCTCTGTCCAGATTTGTTACTGGACCAAGTTCCTCTTGACCCTTATCATTCATAGATCGTATTCCTTTAAGTTTGGAAGACGACGACATTCGTTGGCCTCTTTTGCGCTTCCTTCTTATTTTGGTCTTTTTAGAACACTGCGTTCGTTTGTTTTTCTTATCGTCACTCGACTGTTCCTGCAAGACTCCACTGGGTAGATTGAACTTTCTCTTCAAAACAAAATTCTTAACCGCGCTTTCTGTTGGAACAGCTCCTACATCGCCGGCCTTTTCCTTCGTGTTAACGTTGAAAGGTGAATCAATTCTGCGAGGCGATGTTTGTTTTCTACAATTCTTTCTTTGGAGGGTTGTTTTTCGTTCCCCTGAGGGAAAGTAATGGATCTGAGTAGAGGGACAATCTTTAGGACATACCCTCTCTTCTTGATCCCCTGAAGATTTGCTGTATTCGATTATTTCTCCGTCGGTGGATCTGTCTTTGTTATTTTGTTGGTAAATTCCATCTAAACGTCCATTACTCGGAACTCCTTCCTTAACTGACTGCTGCTGCTTAAGTTTTTCGAGTTCTATCGTGTGTTCAGCAAGACGTTTTTTCAAATCCAGTATCTTTTCATCTCTTTCTGTGTATTGCTCGGATCTTCGAGAATTTTTCTGGTCTTTCATTAATTTATCACGATAAACTGGATGGTATTCTATTGTATAGCCTTTAAAAATGCGAATATGGTCTTCTGTGACTTGATCGTACTCATCATAGTATTCGCTGTTTTGATTATCCATGATTGTTTTTGGATCATCTCTCCCGTCGCTAGAACTCTCAGAGAGGTGGTTATATTCGCTTTGATTCACTCTTTCCTTTGGTTTTAATACAGGATCTTCCAACTTGATCAGAGAATATTTTTCCACTTGATTTTTTTTTTCAAAGATAGGCGATGTGGCTTCACGAGGACTTTCAGCCCTAGCAGGTTTTCTAAAAGAGCATGATTTCACAAGCTCAGACAGTTCTTCTTTGACATCACTGTGGATTTCGTCGTCACTGTCATGGATATAAATGATGTCGTCCTTTTCCTTTCTGCTTTCACGAGCAGCCGCCTCTGTGCTACGGTGTTCAGAATTGAAACTCGGAGTCTGAGTTGCGGACCCGTGATCAACCATCACAGGAACATAATAAAGGTAGACATTACCTCCTTGCACCGGATAAGAAGGCAAGTTCATCATTCTGTATTCTCTATGAAGGATCTGTTGGTATCTTAATGCAACCTCCTGCCATACTCGTCTTTGCTGCTGTGTACCTCCTGACGCGCTGCTGTATAAAAACATCAGCGCTTAATATAAGTCAAGTCAAACTTAAAAAATAAATTGGTGCTCAAAGTCGAACTAGTCGTAGATTCTAATATAAACAAACTGAACATAATTTGGGATAATAGAGCCTTTAGACTCTAAGACAAGTCCGATTACGGATGCGATATTTGAATAGTCTCTTTTACAGTCGTGGGCTTAGTGGCCAAGCCTTTGAACAGGAGTGAGGCTAAGGGTGACCCTGTTGTGATAGAGACCTGTATCTAGTTAGCACGATAACAAAGTAATTTGTGTTTGAAAAGCGGCAACATCTCTATCATAACAAGGTCACCCTAAGCCTCACTCCTGTTCAAAGGCTTGGCCACCAAGCCCACAACTGTAAAAAGGACTATTCACATTGTTGGCGTAATGAAGTGAAAACCGTATCAGAGCAATCTTTAATTGAGTGTCGAAAGTAATCTGAGGTTAGGTCTGTGATTGGTGAACAAAACTCGCGCTATCCAACCAGACGCAAAACGAAAACCAATCCTGACTTTATCGCCCGCGTTTTTGTTGTTTTGCTTGTTTTTACTTCGAGTGCTCATTAGCTAATGTTTTTGGTATTCGACAGTCAATCGAAAACTGCCCAAAGAACACGCCCATGGGATTCCTGATAGCGTCAACTCATTAAAAGGTATTTATTTGATACTGGGTTATAAAACTTAACAGCTTCAGTCCTAAAAAACAAAAAAGTAAAAACTCCGTGAAGTATCCGCTCAATAGTTTCTTTCTGTTTTCTTTAGCTTTTTTGTTTGTTAATTTGTTTTTCTGTTCTTTTGTTGGGGGGGGGGGTCAGTGGGGGTTATAAAAAGGACTATCTAGGTTGTCATTCTACCAGCCTAATCAAAACATTTGACTTTAACCCGAAAATGGCACGAATATGAACCCGTGGTCCCCTCTTTTAACTTACAGTTTAAAACAATCAATCACCCAGCATGATTTTACCAAAGCTGTTCCACGCCGGTAAAACAAATACAGCCACAGCCTTTGTAGACCAAAGCTTGTTTTCGTTTTACTCTGAAATGTCATCATGGCCGAAAAATCAAATTAGTAAATGAGAATCTAAATTGTTTTGTTCTTCCTGTCTTTTGTGAATTGATGGTTCTAACGAAGCTAGTTTTATGTCCCCGTTATCATGGCTGTTTGAAAGAAACGACTTCTCTTCAATTGAAATGAAGGAGAAAAAAGCATGTGTGTGCCAAACTGAAAACGACAAGAAACCATAAACCGGAAGTTAGATGTTCATGTTCTTGGCTCCAAGCAACGCGACTTTCGTTTTCTATCCCTGACTGACGCAAGGAACTATGTCTGAGGCAATATATGACAATAAAACAGAAGATAGAACTTTCGAACCGACGTTAAAACAAAAGCAACAACACCTGAAAACATTTAGGTACGAAAGTGGAGAAACATAAGATATGTTGCGTGTTTTAAAACAATGTGAATTGAACCGTAGCTCACTCACACCAGGTGTCCTATGGAAAAGCGTGGAGAGAAGAAGATAGAGACGAAAAAGATGAAAACGGAAAAAAAGAAAACGGAAACTCAGTTGCGTTACATTAATACGTCGGTTGGTCGAATGTGATTGAATTCACTATTATGAACCAACTTTTTTATCCGGTCACGAGCAGCTGCAAATAAAGAATTTTCTACCCCACGACAACTGTTTTTCGCCGCACAACTTTAAAAAAGGCATCATATGCGCGAATAGATTTACTGTGCAGCAACAGTTTCGATTGTTTACTTCATCAACACATAGCCTGTATTCATACAGCTGTCTCGACAGAGCTGACCTTCATTAAAATGCAGCACGCGTACGTAAATGTTAGGCGTGCTATGTCTACACAAGTAACAGCTTAGCGAAAATCTTCACTCTTCAAATGCAGAATTATCCTTCGAACAGAAATTCCGTTGATTCATCAGTTAGCTCTCACTCAAAACCATCAACTTAGGATAAAGAAAAGATGCCCTTAATAATTTCTTGAATATTCCGGTTCTCACAACACTTGTGAGGAGCGCGTGTTCTTTAGCGCGTGACAAGTTGTCTCGCCAGACGTGAATTTGACCATGACACAGATACTGTAGCCTTCACATCGTTCAGTCCCCCTTTTATTGCGCATCGATTTCTTATTTAAGATGATTTCTAAGTTTAGGAGTATTACTTGCCAGACATGTTTAAGTGAATGATCGACATTCAGTAAACACGTTCACCAACAACCTACTTCGTAGATGAGTGTCATGACCTTCGACAAATGGAATGGCCTCGAAAAACCGACACGAGGCTGTAATTATTTATTGTGGCGAATATCACCTACCTGTTTGTAAACGGAACAGAATTTGAAAAGGGGAGTTTAGGATCATCAGCGTTTGTTATATCCGTTTTTCCTCTCGGCGTGGTTTCCTCAAGATTTTCAGTTGTTTCGATTTCTCTGTCAGCTTCTGTAGTGGTTTGAGAAGACGTGCCATAGCGACCATCCGTCGTTAATTTCCCGTCTACAGGTGAAAACACATTGCCTGGTTTTGTAGAGCTCATCCGTTTTTCGTGTGGAACAGCTTCAGCATTTCCCATGCTAGACAGTCAAGATAATTTTAACAGTAAAACATGAGTCAATATTAAAACTGCCTCGCAAACCCACGACTGACAAATGAAAGCACAACTTGAACACTGCTGCGAATTATGCATGAATAATAACAAGCCAACGGACAATATCGTTATCGTTATGCCCAGTTACTGCTCTCTAACTAAATCCCTACCGTAATCAAATTACAAGTTGACTTGACTTTGACGTAATCTCAAGCGTTTTCCTGAGTGTAAAATGATTTTTGCCAAAAAGTTCCTAGTACCTGACGTCAGCTTTGTCCCTTCGGTTATAAGTTTCGTGCCGTATTCTTGCCCGCCCGCGCATTCGTCAACAGTGACGCAACAATAATTTATATGATTTATAAGAGCGGTTGCGTGACTGAGGTCAAAGAAATACACTAATTTGCATTGACGATGCATACACAGCCTTAACAATGGTGCCATATTGTTTCCTAACATGCTCTCGAATGGTCCCACTCGGCGCCAATGTTTCTCTTTTGAAATTTCAAATTGCTAATAGAAATTCTACGGAAACCAGAGAACTCAATGGTTGCGTCGTTAGTCACATATTATTTTGATTGTAGTTTTCATGTTAATTTGGTTCGAATCAACTAAGTTGAAATTGTAAATTGGCCACTGTAAAGAGTTAAAAAGCTGACGTTCCGAGCTTTAGCCCTTCGTCAGAGCGAATGACGTTCGAAACATCAGCTTTATAACTCTTTACGATAGCCATTTTACAATTTCAACTGAGTTTATAAAACCAAATTACCTCGTTACCCCCACCGACGCAGCATCTCAGTTTCTTTAGAAACTTACCCCATATATTCATTTGTAGTTTTCATCGTTGGTTGACCCGCGGCCCAAGGAAATTCAGGATTGGAACAGTGGACTTAAAATAATGTGGACTATCAGTATGACTAAGACTCTCTTCTCTTCTGATAGGTACATAAAAGACGTAAACAAGATAGCAATCTTGACTCAAAGAGTAATGTAGCGAAAATGCAATACAAAACATCTGTCATTGGCACCTGCTCACCGGTTCCCTACGCAAAACTTTGGTTCTGCCATTCCTTCATTCTTAAGATTAAGAATAAACTATTAATTTCTTGTGTATAGCTCTCGGGATGAAAAAGATTTCTTTAAGGAAAAAATACTTGTAACATTTGAACTTTACTTCACTGAAGAGCAAGCTACATGTAGGTTATGCTTGGCGTTCCTCTCAATTAATAAAGAAATAGGAGACTTGAAAGGGTTTGCACAACCACAGAAAAAGGTTACTTTTGCCTTTATAAAATACCTCATTTTTGAAAATACGCGTGTCAGCACATTCTCATCTAAATAGACCTCTCACTCAATGAGAGTGAGCTAAGTATCTCAGTAATTTCAAGAAACATCATTACACTAAAAGAGCACGTCAAAAGAATATTTAAATGGTCTGTGTCATGATGAGGCGCTATAATGAGTCCTCGCGCTGGGATGATATTCTCGCCGAATCACTTGACTACCTTGAAAAAGAACTTGATCAATCTTCAGAGGTCAGGGACATATTTACGTGAAGTGGCTCTTCTATGTGGAAGAATAGATCCATTTATTTCTGTGGAGTTTATTATCTATGTTAGTATAAAGTTTAAGGCCTAATGGATTACGAACCATTCATGTGTCTCTACGAAGGGGAGCTAGTCGTTAAAAAATGTGGTTTAGTGTAGACCTAAGTGTGCTGGTGAATGAGGCAGCAGAGGCACTCAATGGAAATAACTGTTCTATGTCAGCGACAGTGAAAGCCTGCTCAAGTCAAGATAATGATCCTCGCAGGTGGATTACAATTTTAGAAACTGCAGAAAAGAAGCCTGAAAAAAATTCAGGATTCGACGGGATTCGAACCCGTGTCTCCCAGATACCAGTTGGGTGCTACTACTGAGCTACGAAGTTAAATTGTAGCGGATTCTTGGCCAGTTCGCCTTGACATTGTATCTTGTACTCTTAATTAGTGCACATAAAAGAACAAGTTGCTGTGATGTAAACACAAAATCAGGAATCTGGCGGACGCGAAGTGAACAAAGAACAACTAACTGCAATCAACCGCTCAAACTCTTGATAATCGGTTTTGAAGAAAATGACGACCTGAAGAGATTCTTTGAAGTACATGTACCTCTTCCAAATAAAAGTTAGGTACTGGAACAACGATGCCCTCAGGGGAAGGTTAAAAATAACTCGGTTCGAAAACGATGTAAATAAGTAATTGATTAACGATGTAAATAATTAATTGATAGACTCCTTTTAATCAACCACATTTTGTGAAACAAAGTGCTGTAGAACCAGTTACGAGTAATTCGCCAAAGAAGCCAGTTGCACGCAGACATGCTCTTGTTTGTGTATGTGTCACGTTGAAATATTTGGCGTTCTTCTATCGTCACGTAACGTACCGCTGGTTGGCGGAGAAAAACGATGGCATTAATCAGGAAGCAGTTCTATTTTGGGGATATTTTGAATGTCGTTAATATTCAATTCTGTTTTTTTTTTAATTTGCTAGCCTTTAAATACAAAATGTTCGATCAAGCGTCTCTGTCTCCGTTGTCTATTCGAAGAGAAAAGAGATGGAGGCCGTGACTTAAAACAAACCGCCTCAGATTACAGCGGTATCTTCGACAAGATGACATGCTCTTAGCCATGATGAGAGTTCTTTTGCTAAATCAAAGGTATCGCTTATCACTCACAAGTCACTGGAGGTTTGAAAGTATTTATGTCTGTTTGGCGTTGTGAAAGGAACGTTTCCGATATCGAACCAAACCAGGCCGAGTGTGAAAGAAACTCGAACGGAACAGCTCGCACGAGGTTTCCGGGTTCAAGAATGACCGCGGATCCGAGAGCAAGCCCGAAGCTGACAAAAGCAGTAAAGCTGAAGGGAAATGGATGCAGACTTGACATGTTTTCCGGTGAACAGAAGACTCTTACTCGGGACAGTAAACAGGAGGTGAATAAATTGACCAATTTGAGCTCAGTTTTGACGAACAGTGTCGAAGAAATCCCGGATGAAGTCGCTGCTGTCTACCACGAAAGTACGAGGACACCAGAAGACGACGCACTACCAATTGAAAGGTTGGTGTATCAGACTCTGGGTTTCATATCTTATGTTAACGACAACAGTTGATTTAATAGATATCCTTGTTACCTCTCAAAGCCTAGTTTACCAAACAAACTTCGTCTTTTCTACCAACGCAACGATTCGCTGTGTACTCTTATGGTCTCAGAGAACATTTGGCTGAAAGCGAAGCTAGCTGGATTTTTGCCCCACGCTTTGCGTGGTGTTTCACAAATCCAAGCTGACTTCGTTTGACTGAGAATAAGATAACATGTTGATTGTTTAACCGTAGTGGACGGTCTGTAGGCAATGTAAACAATTGCATGGCGTGAAAATCTTTATTGAAATGCTTTGAATAATCCGCTGATTTATCGCTCGCGCGTAAATGTTAAAACGGACTGATTCGGTACTGTGTGTGTTTAAGGTTTACTAGCTAATGTTCGCGATGAAAAATCTGTCCTTCGAAATATCTTATACAGGGAATACACTAGAAAAAATAGCATCTACTTCCTTTTCACTTCAATTTCGCTTTCGTTTCCTAAC